GAGACTTTGGTAGAAGCAGAAGCCTCTGTTGCCTCATGTAGTTCAGATTCAGCAATGCTATGGCATCAGAAACTTGGACACATGTCAGAACAAAGAATGAAAGTCCTTGTGGAGCAAAAGCTACTTCCAGGCTTAACAAATGTATCACTTCCTTTGTGTGAGCATTGCATAACAAGTAAGCAGCACCGGTTGAAATTCAACACATCAAATTCTAGAGGCAAAAGTGTTCTAGAATTAGTTCATTCTGACGTATGGCAAGCACCAGTAACGTTCCTAGGTGGAGCAAAATACTTTGTCTCATTTATTGATGACTACTCCAGGAGATGTTGGGTGCACCCTATTAAGAAGAAGTCAGACGTGTTTTCAACTTTCAAAATCTTCAAAGCGCGGGTGGAACTTGATTCTAGAAATAAGATCAAGTGTTTCAGAACATATAATGGAGGAGAATACACAAGCGAAGAATTTGATGACTTTTGCAGGAAAGAAGGCATCAAAAGACAGTTCACAGTGGCGAACACTCCTCAACAAAATGGAGTGGCAGAGCGGATGAACAGAACCTTGTTAGAAAGAACAAGAGCAATGTTGAGGGATGCAGGCCTAGAAAAATCATTCTGGGCAGAAGCAGTCAATACCGCCTGTTATTTGGTGAATCGAGCTCCATCAACTGCAATAGAGCTGAATACACCAATGGAGATGTGGACTGGAAAACCAGCTGATTATTCAAACCTCCATATATTTGGAAGTATAGTGTACATGATGTACAACTCCCAAGAAATTTCAAAGTTGGATCCAAAATCCAGGAAATGCAAATTCTTGGGGTATGCTGATGGAGTAAAGGGGTATCGCTTGTGGGATCCCACTGCCCGTAAAGTGATCATTAGTAGAGATGTTATCTTTGTATAAGATAAACTACAAAGAAAAGAAGACGATGATAGCGCTGAAAAGTCAGAGACTACTCAGATACATGTGGAAAAAGAGTTTGAAGAATGAGATTCTTCTGAAGCAGAACCAATACATGATGAACAAGAACCAGAGAGTTCAGAAGCTCCAACAACTCGTCAATCAGATCGTTTGAGAAGACGTCCCAATTGGCACTCAGATTATGTTATAGAAGGTAATATTGCATACTGCCTTTTAACAGAGGACGGTGAGCCATCAACATACCAGGAGGCAATAAACAGCTCAGATGCTTCACTGTGGATGATGGCGATGCAAGAAGAAATCGAAGCCCTTCATAAAAATAATACATGGGACCTTGCGTCACTACCACAAGGAAGGAAGCCAATTGGTAACAAATGGGTCCTCAAAATCAAGCGAAATGGTGACGATCAAGTTGAGAGGTATCGTGCAAGACTGGTGGTCAAAGGATATGCTCAAAAAGAATGTATTGATTTCAATGAAATATTTTCTCCTGTGGTTCGACTAACAACAGTTCGAGTAGTTTTGGCAATGTGTGCTACATTGAACTTACATCTAGAGCAGCTAGATGTTAAAACAACTTTTCTTCATTGAAATCTTGAAGAATAGATTTACATGCTCCAGCCTGAAGGTTTTGAAGAAAAAGAAAAGAATAACTTGGTTTGCAGGTTGAACAAATCTTTGTACGGTTTAAAGCAGGCGCCGAGGTGTTGGTATAAGAGATTTGATTCCTTCATTATGTGCCTTGGATACAACATACTTAATGCAGACCCTTGTGCTTATTTTAAGAGGTCTGGTGATAACGATTTTGTTATATTGCTGTTATATGTGGATGACATGTTGGTTGCAGGACCCAACAAAGATTATATTGAAGAATTGAAGGCACAACTGGCTAGGGAATTTGAAATGAAGGACTTGGGATCAGCAAACAAGATTCTAGGGATGTAAATTCACCGAGACAGAAGTAATAGGAAGATTTGGCTTTCACAAAAGAATTACTTGAAGAAGATCTTGTCAGGATTCAACATGCAAGATTGTAAGCCAATTTATACCCCTCTTCCTATTAACTTCAAATTATCCTCCAGTATGAGTCCTAGCAGTGAAGAAGAGAGGATGAAGATGTCTCGAGTATCGTATGCATCAGTAGTGGGAAGTTTAATGTTCGCTATGATATACACAAGACCAGACATTGCACAAGCAGTGGGAGTGGTTAGTCGGTACATGGCAAATCCATGCAAAGAGCATTGGAATATTGTAAAGAGGATCCTCATATACATCAAAGAGACCTCAAATGTTGCATTATGTTACGGAGGATCAAACTTACTAATCAATGGTTATGTAGATTCTGACTATGCAGGGGATTTGGATAAAAGCAAATCTACTACAGGATATGTGTTCAAAATTGCTGGTGGAGCTGTAAGCTGAGTTTCAAAATTGCAGTCAGTTGTGGCTACATCCACAACAGAGGCATAATATGTAGCAGCTACAAAAGCCAGTAAAGAAGCAATTTGGTTGAAGATGCTATTGGAGGAGCTTGGGCACAATCAAGAGTATGTCTCTCTGTTTTGTGACAGTCAAAGCGCCTTGCATCTAGCAAGGAATCCAGCATTTCATTCAAGGACAAAGCACATACGAGTTCAGTACCATTTCATTCGTGAAAAAGTGGAAGAAGGAACGGTAGATATGCAGAAAATCCATACCAAAGACAACATAGCAGATTTCATGACGAAGGCAATCAATGCTGATAAATTTACCTGGTGTCGATCCTCCTGTGGCCTGTCAGAAACGTAAGCAACATGAAGGTACAAGGTAGAAAGAATGGTGTGAAGATATGATTATTCCAATCAAATCTTCAAATGGGAGATTGTTAAAAGTCAAATAATTTAGGCACCAAATTAGGCACTAAATGGTGCTTTGTCAAAGTCAAAAATTAGGCACCTAATTTTTGTTGAAATTGGGTAATGGGATAATTAATTTTAGTCATTGTAATTTAGGGTATAAGATCAGTCCTTAAGTTTCAACTATAAATATCCTAGCTCATTTAGCTTCAAAATCATCCCAAAGAATTCTAGCTTTCTTCCAATACTAGAGAGAATTTAGAGAGTTTCTTGAGAGTTGTTTTCTTCTTTTTATCAAGAGAGAATTATCATTGTTTTCTCCTTGGTAGATGAGAGAAGTTGTAATTCCTATTTTCTTATAGTGAAATTCTTCTACCGTTGCCCGTGGTTTTTACCCTATATTATTCAGGGGGTTTTCACGTAAATTTTGTGTCTCTTTTATCTTCATTTTTATTTTCTCAAATTATCAGTTGCGATTTTGCTCTATCCGATAGCCGTCTTCCGCAACAATATCGGCTCAGACTGTTTACCGAACTTTCTCGTGTAATCCTGTAACATTGCTTGTTTCGATACTTTGGTAGGAGGATTTGGACTCTAAAGTTACCTTTTATAGAAAGGTTTGGCTACTCTGGGCTACCACCATTACGTTTTTGCCTCGACCATGTTTGTTCATCAGGTCACCCGTTTCGGTTTCTAGTATAATAGTAGTTTAAATGTTATTAATCGATTCAATTATTCATAATTCAATATCATATTATGATTAAGCAAGAGTTTAAACGTGTCACAAAGCTTCGAGGGCAGTACTTGATGGAGAGCAAGCGGATACAAATATTCATGCTTGTTTAGTAATGTTAAGCCAATGGCTTGGTTATTTGATGTTTTCGAACATTTTGCAGGCTGCAGTGATCAACTCAAAGCTTCGTGATCATCCTGTTTTGGATAGGCTTTGTTGCCATGTCGTCCTTGAGCTCCAGATCAGTTGCACTACGAGGAAACATCGATGGCCGGTGAGCAGTCAAAGAAGCCATGTGGTTGCATTGCAGAGAGCAAGGGTGGGTTAGCTTCAAAAACCACGCTTTTATCGACCGAGCTGTAAAGCTACTATTTCGTGTTGTTTTCCCCGTTTCCACATAACGTTTTCGATTGCAAGCGGAAGTCGCGTCAAGAAATCTTACCATTGCAAGAGTGGGAGCGCAATGACCTGAGCCGGGCTATCTATTTCGAGCATTTTGTTTAGCATTCAAACCCATCACCCGAGCCAGGCTATCTATTTCGCGCATTTTTGTTTATCATTCAATCCCATCACGATAGCGAACAGTGTCGTAAGGGAGCATTGTGTCGACATTTTTAAACTAGATAAAACGGTAGTTTAACAACGGCGGACGACTTCTTAATCAATCGGAAAAAGATTGTATCGGAAACTTAATTGATGAGCCACATGCCTCAGACCACGACTACCATCAATGTAAGCAAGAGAATGTATTACGAGGCCCCCTCCCTAGGAGTGAAACTGATTCGGAAATTCCACTGAAATTAAGAACAATATATGTCATCTTATTCTACAATTTTTGCCATAATTTCTTATGCATTGTTCTTCTCGTTTATTTTGGACTGGTTTTTTGTTTGAAGCAAGACAATTAAGCTACGGATTTTCTGGTACGATCTGAAATCCCTGTCGAACAAACGCCCACTTTTGTCCGGTTAATAGAGAGCAAGGTTGTTAAACTTATTTTAAAGGTGTTTATTTCACGATAACTTGGTTATTAAACGTCGAATTTTAAGCATATCTTATAAACGACGAAATGAATAATACACTATCCAACAGCGAAAAACCAAAAGTATGAATTGAAGAGCACATAAATTAAAGAGTAAACAACAGATGTTATCATTGAACCAAACAATAGATGTATAATAAACAGTAAAGTGCAAAACCAAATTAATATTTTATTCCAAGGTGGTCGGAGTTGAACTGTGTTTTGGGATGTCCAAATCAATATTTTATGATTACAGATAATATATCTTAATAAATAAATATGTTAGAGTTTAATTAGAATTAGAATAGGGTTGTGCTTTTGTAATTAACAAGTGTAATTAGAATAGGTCTCTACTTTTGTTATGGTACACCACTATATAAACAAGCCACCCAAGTAACTTCTCCTTCAAAGTCCCAAGTAACTTCTCCTTCAACGTCTATTCTCCTTCAGAGTCAAAACAAAAGCAGCATGGCGAGTTTTGTTTCCTCGGCTATTCTCCTCCTCTTCATGTTCTTTCCCATCGTCATGCCCCTGCCCCTGTCAACGAATTCACGTTGGATTGTTGACGATGGAGGACGACGTGTGAAGCTGGCGTGCGTGAACTGGTCGGCTCACTCGGAACTGATGGTTGCCGAAGGGCTCAGCAAGCAGCCTATGGATACGATTGCCAAACGGATTGCGTCGATGGGATTCAACTGCGTCAGGTACACTTGGCCGGTCTATCTGATCACCAATGACTCCTTAGCATCCCTTACCGTTAGACAGTCCTTTCAACGACTCGGCTTCGTTGAATCCATCGCTGGAATTCAAGCCAACAACCCTTCCATCATCGATGTTCCCCTCATCAAAGCTTACCAGGTATCACAGATTTTTCAACTCTCCTATTAGAATTGAATAAACAACATGTCTCAAACTTAATCTACCGCATTCATTTATTGATTGGTGTTTTTATTCCAGGCAGTGGTGTCAAGCTTAGGTGAAAACAATTTGATGGTCATACTTGACAATCACATCAGCAAACCCGGTTGGTGTTGCAATAATTTAGACGACAACGGTTTCTTCGGTGACAAGTACTTCAACCCGGATCAATGGGTCACCGGGCTAACTCGGATGGCCACCTTATTCAATGGTGTCACCAACGTGGTCGGCATGAGCTTGAGGAACGAGCTAAGAGGCCCGAAACAGAACGTCAACGACTGGTACAAGTACATGCAGAAAGGAGCCGAAGCAGTGCACTCGGCAAACCCGGACGTCCTCGTTATACTTTCTGGATTTGATTTCGACAGAGACTTGTCATTCATCAAGACTCAATCCGTAAAACTCACGTTCAGTGGGAAACTAGTATTCGAGGCGCATTGGTATGGATTCTCCGATGGGCCACGAACATGGGTGGCCGGAAACCCAAATGAAGTTTGTGGCAGAGTTGCGACTTACATGTTGAAGACGTCTGGGTATTTGGTTGATCAAGGATACCCGTTGTTCATTAGCGAGTTCGGGATCGACCAAACAGGAGCCAATGTCAATGGCAATAGGTACTTGAATTGCTTCTTGGGCGTGGCAGCTGAGCTTGACCTGGATTGGGCCTTGTGGACACTCACCGGGAGCTACTATGTGAGAGCAGGAGTTGTCGGGTTAAACGAGTACTACGGAGTCTTGGATTATAACTGGTGCGCACCCAGAAATTCGAGCTTCATACAAAGAATTTCAGGTCTCCAAGCTCCTTTCCGAGGTAAGTCGACGTATATTAGTTTTTGTTTTATTCGAGATTGATGATGTCAACCGAAAATTTGATGCAAATCTTTTACTATTCCGCAACGACATATGCAGGTCCAGGTTTGTCGGAAGCCAAACCGCACAAAGTTATCTTCCACCCCTTAACGGGGCTCTGTATCACAAGGAAACCATTCGCCCACCGGTTGCGGTTAGGTCCCTGCTCCGAGTCCTACGCTTGGAGTTATTCCCCCCAGAAGACTTTACTAGCAACAAGGACACATTTATGTTTACAAGCTGGCGAATCCGGGACATCGGCGAAGCTCGGCATCTTATGCACCGGCTCGAATTCGAAGTGGGAAATGATATCAGATTCCAAGATGCATCTCTCGGCTAAACACAGGGATGGCAAATCCGTTTGTCTCGACGTAGCGTCGGACAACACTATCATCACAAGCAGTTGCAAATGTATAAATAAAGACAACACATGTGACCCTTCGAGCCAATGGTTCAAACTCGTGGATAGCACAAGGAGCAGCGCAAGCGTTTAGTTTTATCGAGCGTCTGGTTTTAGTTTTATTTGTTTCGGAATGTATAGGAATTAGATAGGTAGCGATCATACCAAATCCAGTTAATTTTATCAATAAAGGCAATTGTTTTATCTTTTACATAGATTAACCAAAACTCAAAGTTAAACTCAAGCAACTTCACCTGAATAAATCAAAAGACGAAGAAAATAATTCGAGCCAAATCGAATTTTATTCAAGTGTACACGACCAAGATTTTTATGCCTCGCGGTATATGCTACAAACCTGTGTTCAAATCATTCAATATTTCGGTCTTAATCTCTTCCGGTAATGGAGCAGAGGGACCTTCCTTGGAGCCGAAACTGGCCAAAGGACTTTCCAAGCTCGATGTACGATTCCTCGCGAACCCCCCTCCAATTACTCAAATAGTCTCGGATCGACTCTTTTGCGGACTCCGCCGTTGGTCTAAACTTAGCGACATCTTTGTTTAAATATATAAACAATAATGGAAGCATGTCTGAGATAAGTATATGCACAAAATTTGATATATAAGTATCTTTGCTGCATAATGCAAGCATTATATCCAAATTTGACTGATTTTTCTGAAAACTGAAGCATAAATTTTGAGTATCTCTTGCCCAGTACATTTATGAACATATGAAAACTAAGCTATTAATTATGACAAAATGAAGTTCACGAGAAAAGTATCATAGATGTTGAGAAACATATAAAAGGAAGAAAAACCCAATTTCCATAAATTGAAAATTTGGCATTGCAAATGCAGTTAACGGATGCTTCCTAATGGGAATAGCTACACGGAGAAGACAGTAGCGACAAAATAAATAACAAAAAGGAGTTGAAATGGTAATTAAAGTAGCTTCCATGGATTTAAGAGATTGCATACGTCTGGACAACAGCCTCCACCTTTTAGCTTGTTTTCTGCACAACTTTTATCCAAATGGAGACGATGAGATTGAGGGATGAGTTTGTCATTTAACTTAATTTCATCATTTTTTTCAAGAAAAAATAAACTTCTTTATTTTTTAGGTAAACTACATAAATGACCACATAACTATGGGCTGGGTCCCGAAATGACCACCATTTTCAAATTTGCGTACATATAACTACTGAACAATTTAAATGGTTTCATGATAGCCACATGCCGTTAACACTTAACGAAAGTGTCTACGTGATAGTTAACAAATATCGGTATAATTAGGGCATGGGTCCTTGTAATGTTACGTATTCGCGATGTTGGAACCCTACTTTGTTTTCTTCCATTTTGGTCAATACTTGTGTATAATTTGTTTCTTTGGATTTTCATTTAACACAATTTTATCTTGATTCTGTTTTAATTTGTCTAATTAATTAATTAATTTGAGCATTAACTTTAAAATCTTGTATTCTAGTCATGTATTAAATTTATAGATTAAATCTCTTATATTTTAGAATTAATCAATTTGATCACCAATATTAATTTTAATTCTTAATTTTTAATTAGGTCTTAATTTTAATTTAATCTAATAAATTTATTTCTCCAAACAAATTGTGACACATGTCACAATCTTATTAGAGGGTTTTTTAATTTTAATTGAATAAATTTTCAATCCAATCAAAAGGTGACATGTGTCACCTTTTGAATTGAAGTGAGAATAAATAAAGATTAGTTTTTAACACCCAAGGGTAACCTGTGCATGCCTTAACCATTGAGCTAATTCTCACGCTTGTTATTGAGATAATACATATGTTTTATAACTTGTTCAAGTTTATGCAGGAAAAAAATAAAATAACTTAATTGGATTTGAACCCAAAATTAATTCGTAACTTTACAAGGACATGTGCCTTAATTATACCAATTTTTTAATTGCCACGTACATTTCTGTTAAGTGTTAACAGTATGTGGCTATATTAAAACTATTTAAATAGCTCAGTAGCCATATTGACGCAAGTTTACAAATGGTAATCATTTCGCGATCCAGCACATAGTTATGTGGTCATTTATGTAGTTAACCCCTTTTTTGGGTTAAGAGAATCGTCCATATTTTTATTAAGGATAAAGTATATAAATGATCCCCCAACTACAAGTTGTTGCTTTATTGAATCCTCTAACTATTAAAAGTTATAAAATGGTCCTCAATTATAAGACGTTATTTTTTTAAGTCTCCTAACTATTAAAAGTTACAAAATGGTCACCAAACTATTATTTATGTTCCAAACTCATCCTTTTTCGTTGAAAATTTGATGGCAGTTTGAGTTAGACGTTAACCTACTGATTGAGATATGATATAACAAGAATCCAGCAACTCAAATGACTATAATATCCCAGTCATCAGGTTAAAAAATGACAAGTTTGGAATACAATGAATAGTCAGGTTACAATTTTGTAACTTTTAATAATTGAAGGGCTTAAAAAATAACGTCCTAGAGTCAATAAACCCTTTTATAACTTTTAATAGTCGGATGACTCAATAAAACAATACTCTATAGTCGAGAGACCATTTGTATACTTTACCCATTTATTAAATACAAGATTTTTAAAATCATATGGCTTATTATACTTTTTTGAAAATTATCAGATTAAATAAATTTAGTAGTTAAATCTAAAACTTTTAAATTAAAATAATTCATTTTTAAATAAAAAACCCTTTCTATTGTTAATTTCATCTATACATTGATTTAAAATTAAATAAAAACAATGACTGAAATATAAAGTTGAATTTTTTTTTAAAATATTGAATGCACAAAATTTTAATCTAATTTGTTGATTTTCTTCAATTTAGTGTGAGTAGATAATAACCTCCTCTCTCTCAAAAACATAGAAGAGAAATAAGTCATAAGCAAATGATATTAAGGTAAATATAAATGTTCATATTTAATCATAGGATAAAACACAATTTTACCTTATTTATTTAGTTAGGAGTTGAAATTATATTAAAATAATATAAATATATGTATACTTACAACTAAATATCTTTGGAGTTAATTGCATCACATGTACTCAAAGTATGACATTCGTTTTAAATTGGTCTCTAAACTTAAATGTTCTAATTTCATACCTAAACTATGACTATCATTCTAAGTTAATCCTTAAACTTTTGAACATTCTAATTTCATCCCCACATTATTACCTGCATTCTAAACCAGTTCCCACACCTTTTGAACTTTCCAAGTTATATTATTATATCTTTTAAAACAAAAAACAAAATTTAAGTTAAACTATGGTTGAAACAAATTCATATTTGGGTGAACTTGAGATAAAATTAGAATGTTCAAAAGTTTGGGAACTAATTTAGAAAGATGGTCATAGTTTAGAGATGAAATTAGAATGTTCAAAAGTTCAGGACTAATTTAGAATGAGAGTCATAGTTTAGGGTTGAAATTGAAACATTCAAAAGTTTAAAGACTAATTTAAAATAAAGGTTAAAGTTTGGGGGCATATAGTGAATTAACTCATATTTATGTTTAGTTAACATGCAATAAGGAAAATTTTTATGTTCTTTAAAAGTCAATTTTATATAATGTTAGTTTACAAAAGATTGAATAGGTGATACATATATTTGAAGTGGGTTGTATATATATATATATCATCACATAGTAAAAAATTATATCATTACATTAATACTTCTCTTTTTAAAAAGAGAAAATAACCTCAGTGACCAAAAATGCCTTATAATATACGATTTTAACCAACTTTTTTTAGATTTGCCAAAATGACCAACTAAATCGCAATGTTGGCAAATCCAAAAAAAATTGGTTAAAATCGTATATTATAAAATATTTTTGGTCAATGAAGTTATTTTATCTTTTAAAAATTCTCTTCTTTTAAGTTAAAATCAAAGGGTAAATTACGGGATTAATATCCAAACTATCAAATTTTAATTTGTTTTAGTACTTAAACTTCCAATTTTTTCAAAACCATATATATAAAATTTAGATTTTATTTCATTTTAGAACCTTACAGTTAAAAACTTTGATTTTTGTCATTAAAACCTTTGATTTTTGTTTCGATTTAATATCTCATTCAAAATTTAACATTAAGTTTTGAAAAGATTGAAAGCATATGTTAGAACGGATCAAAATTGATAGTTTAAATACTGAACACGTTCAGTTTTTAACAACGAGGTATTGAAATGAAATGACAACTAAACATTAGGTATGATTTTAAAAAAATTGAAAGTTTAAATACTAAAATAGACAGAAATTTATAATTTAGGTACTAAATGCATAGTTTACCCAAAAAATATTAAGCATTATATGGCAATCTATCACATCTCCTTCACCTCATGATGCAATTTTGATCCATATCATCAGCAAAACTTGAATAATGTTTATGATAATGCCATTTCAAAAGTATAATACTAATTTATTATGGAAGAAAGTGGTAATATATATTGGAATACTAAAGCCTAGGGTTACAAAATTGGGACTAGAACGCAGCAAACCCAATGGTAGATGATGCATTTCATGCTCTGAACACTTCACCACCAAAAGCTGGTCATATTTCAAGCCAAGCCAAATATGCAAACACAAAACCACGATATCACAACCGCTAAATTGCCAATCAGAAACACATCAAAAAGGCTCACATTGGACCATAATCATATAAGGCTACGTCCGCATCTAAACTGTTTTCAAGATCACCAAACCACGATATCACAACCGCAACAACTGTTATACGACACAGCAACCGCAACCACGACCACTTGTATTTAATACAATGCCATATGCATCTCATAGAGCAAATACTCAATGTAACAAAATTCAACAGAAGTACACAAATCTATTGATTTATCCAAAGTGTATATGTGTGTGTGTGTGTGTGTGTGTGCAAACTTTATTAAAAGCTAAGAGGCATCCTTAATGCAACGAAATTCAACAATGCAAACCAAATAAAACAAGCATGGTAACCCAGATCATCAATATTTAATATATAATTGGACAAAAGTAAAATGAAAATTTCATTTCAAGTTTAACTCCAAACAAAAAAGATAATAACGTAACGTAACATAACAGAACTGTCATTC